TCCTGCTCCTCGCACAGCCACACCCCCTCCTGCCCCTCCCACAGCCACACATGTGGCTCGGGAGAGAGCCGGGAATGGGGTTAGAGTATAGAGCTCCAGTGGGGTAACAAGCACCAGCCACAGACACGATGGGGAGAGAGAGCAGGGAATGGGAGCTCTGTTGGGCAGTGATGACTGATATTGTGGTCTAATCACACAGGAGAGAAGCTGAAAGGGAACGAGGAGGATTTGGCCTCCGCTGTCGGTGCTGTGAAACCAGAGGATTACGACTCGGAGTAACCGCGGAGTAACCGTCACAGATAGAGCGTGTGGCAACCTCCGCCACCGACTCCCGTGCCTGCCCACCCGCTCCACAATGGTCTCAGCGGCCTTCACACTGGTGGTTGGGGGGCAACACAGGCGTCTTGATTTCCTTCAGCGAATTACTGTGCTGAACTGACACACAGCCCATGTGTGAGTAACCAGTAGTGAGGGAGCTGTCACTCTCTCCCAGGCAGGGAGTGTGTTCCTGTCTCTCTGGTTGTTGCTGTTCGGCAATGCTGGGCTGCACTTTGCTCTGTGTGTTTCAGGGGGGGTTTGCCTATGGTCTGGCGCCCAAACCTTTCCAGGTTCTGTACGGACACGACGATGAGGTCACCTGTGTGGCCATCAGCACAGAGTTGGATATGGCTGTGTCGGGGTCAAAGGTTAGTCTCTCTTTCTCTCTCTCTCTCTCAAACCATTAACAAGAGCCTTTCATGTCAGATGTCCCAAGGCAGTCAGGGACAGTCAGGGACTTGGACCCAAGTTGGGGGTTGGGATCAGGAAGGGTGGAGGGCGGGGGAGGGGCTGGTGAGGGAAGGAGGGTGACGGAAGGCACGGTTGAAGAGGAGGGGCGTGGGATGGAGTTCCAAAGGGTGGGAGAGTAACCTTCCACAGTTAACCTGATCCGGTAATTATTCACATCATTAACCAAATGCATTACATTTCCTCACCGAACTCGTGTTAATCCAACTCATTGATTTTGCATGTAGGCAACCCAACCTGTTAACTCTGCCCCAAACTGGCTGATTGTGGGCATGGGGGGCGTAAACCCCGCTGTGTGTTAGCCACTCTGTGATGGAAGGGAAGGTCCTGGGGGTGAGGAGGCCGGGAGTTGGGGGTGAGGAGGCTGGGAGCTGGGGGTGAGGAGCCTCGGAGCTGGGGGTGAGGAGGTCGGGAGCTGGGGTTGAGGAGCCTCGGAGCTGGGGGTGAGGAGGCTGTGGCTGTGACTGGGAGGGAGGTGTCAGGAAGCTATGTTGTGTTTCAGGACGGGACGGTTATCGTTCACACGGTTCGGCGCGGGCAGTTTACACGGTCGTTCCGCCCTCCCTGCGAGAGCTCCCTCCCTGTAACCATCAGCAACCTGGCCGTGGGGCTGGAGGGCCAGATAGTCATCCACAGCACCATCGAGAGCCGTGCAAAGGTAACCAGGCCTTACTCACACATACACACTCACTCACATACACACCTACACTCACACACATACACACTCACATACACACCTACACGTACACACTCACATACACACTCACACACGTACACATGCACATACTCACACACATACACACTCACATACACACGTACACACTCACATACACACACACGTACACACTCACATACACTCACACACGCATACACACTCACATACACACGTACACACTCACATACACACTCACACACGTACACATGCACATACTCACACACATACACACTCACATACACACGTACACACTCACATACACACACACGTACACACTCACATACACACTCACGTACACACGCACACACTCACACACATACACACTCACATACACACGTACACACTCACACATGTACACACTCACACACATACACACTCACACATACACACTCACACACATTCACTCATATACACACCTGCACACATACTCACACTCACACATACATACTCGCACTCACATACACACTCACACACTCACTCACACATATGCACTCACACATACACACACACAGCCACCCTGCCTGACACACACTCAGCCCCCCCACACACACAAACACACACTCACTCACACACCTCACACACTCACACTCACACACATAAAGCCATCCACATACACAAACTCACACACAACCCCACACATTCACACCCACACACAATCACTCAGACACACACCCCCCCCACACTCACACAACATACACGCTTGCACACTGAGGCTGGGGGTGGTGATCGAGGTGGTTGGGGAGGTGTGACAGGGGACATACGAAAAGCAGGAGGCCATTCAGCCCCTCTAGCCTGTTCCAACGTTCTATTAAATCATGGCTGATGTGTATGTCCAATTCCAATGACCTGCCTTTGCCCCATATCCCTTGATACCCACCCTGACCTAACAAATATCTATCCAAATCAGTTTTGATAATGTGAATGGATCCAGCCGTAATCCAGATCCGGATTTCCACTCCTCTTTGGATGAAAACCTTCCTCCTGATTTCACTCCTGTATGGCCTGGCTCCAATACTAAAATGGTGCCCCCCTTTGTTCTGGATTTCTCCATCAGATCACCGCTCAACTTTCTAAACTCAAGGGAATAGGGACTAAGTTTATGCAACCTTTAGCCCTAGTATTATTCTGGTGAATCGGCGCTGCATCCCCTCCAGAGCCAATATATCCTTCCTGAGGTTCGGTGCCTCACACACTCCACACCTCAACCTTGTGGATTGTCGGCCAGGACACCGAGAGAGAGAGAGGGAGAGAGAGAAACTCCCTTCTCTTTCCCCAACAGCGCCACGGGATCTTTAACTCCCGCCAGAACAGGGCACAGACGGGGAGTGAGGTTTAATGTCTCATGGAAGTCCATGACCCCCTGACTTAGAGGCAAGAACATGCCATCAGTTGGCAGTAACACAGTGTGAAGCTCAGTGGGGGTGTTTACCATGATACCGCGTTGTGCCGGGTGACTGACTTAGCTCCTGGATCTCGCTGTATTTTTCCGCAGGATAACATCTTCCTGCACCTGTACTCGGTGAACGGCAAGCTCCTGGCCTCAGAAACGCTGGGGGAGCCCATCACCGCCATGTGCCTCGCTCGCGACCATGTTGTCCTGGGCACAGAGTGCTGCTCTCTCCACGTCCGGCACCTACGCAGGTACGGAAACTCAGCGCCTGGATTCGACGGGAATACCCAGACAACAAGGGTGGGGGGGCCACTGGGAGGCAGGAGGCAAAGAGTCATGTCATTGGTGGCAGCGCCAAGTCATGTCAGGGATGAGAGACGGGAGAGGAAGGGATTGAGGGACAGGAAATGGATTGGCTCTGGCATGTACTGCACTATATGCCAGGGCCAAAGTCAAATAAGTTCTGCACTCAAGGGACTCCAAACTCACACGATCCTAACAGTGTAGAGGGAGCTTTACTGTGTCTCTAACCCTGACCTGGGAGTGTGGACGCACAGTGTAGAGGAGCTTTACTGTGTCTCTAACCCTGACCTGGGAGTGTGGACGCACAGTGTAGAGGGAGCTTTACTGTGTCTCTAACCCTGACCTGGGAGTGTGGACGCACAGTGTAGAGGAGCGTTACTGTGTCTCTAACCTTTGCTGTTTCTAGTTTGAAGAGTGCGATGGAGCCGCTGATGATGAGAGTTCCAATTCATTGTGTGTCGGTCACTAAAGACAACAGCCACATCCTGGTGGGACTGGATGATGGAAAACTGATTGTAGTTGGACCAGGACAACCCTCTGAGGTGAGGAAAGTGAGAGCAGTGTGGGGGGGAGCGGGGGGCGGGTGACCAGGAGTGGGGTAGGGGGAGGAGAGTGAGGAATATGGAGTGGGAGGAGAGGGCAGGGGGGAGACCAAGGGCCAGGAGGGAGAGCGAGGGCTGAGAGAAAGTGAGAACGGGGAGTGAGGGGGGCGGGGATCGAGGGGGCGGGCAGGGGAGACCAAGGGTGTGGGGGAGAGCGAGGGCAGGGGATGGGAATGCAAGGGTGGGGGAGGGGAGGCAGGGGTGAGACGGGGAGAGTGAGAGTGAGGGGATGGGAGAGCGAGGGTGGTGGGAGGGGAGATCGAGTGTGGGTGGGGTGGGGGGGGGTGGATTAGCGGTGTTAGGGGATAAACATTACTTCAGTGAGCGAGCAGTAAACGTATGGAATAGACTCTCGAGGGAGACAGACGGTGGAAGCAGAAACTATTGATTCTTTCAAGAACAAATTAGATAGATTTCTGTTCAAAAATAATATCTGGGGATACAGTATATAGTTTGGGACACAACATGTTAAGTTGGACACTGGAAGGCGAACTGGATGGACTTTGGTCTTCTCTCTTGTTTAGCAAATTGTATGTTGTCTCTGGTTACAGATGAGGACAGGGCAGTTCACGAGGCGATTGTGGAGCTCGACCCGACGGCTTTCCCGGCTCTCGTCCAGAGAGACCGAGTATAAGAAGTAGATCGGGGCAGAGCGTCCCAGATTGGAACCATCTCTCTCTCTCCCTCCCTCGCTCGCTCGCTCTCTTGCTCGCTGATCTGTAACAATCGGCTATGGTTATTTATTTGGAGAGAGGAGAGGAGGAAGGGAAAGGCACGATGATGGGGAGGTGTGACGCTGCTCTATGCCCCCCACCCCCCCCCCCCAGTTCGGGATGTCCTCTCAGCCAGTGTGGGGATCTGACCCCGGCAGTGGGCAGCACGTTTACAAGGACTTTGAGATTTTCCTGGTGGATTTTTCTGCTGATTCTAGAGGGAAAAAAAACTGCTTTCCTGAGAAGACCATAAGACTTTTCATAGAATCTTACAGCACAGAAGGAGGCCATTCGGCCCATTGTGTCCATGACAGCTCTTTGAAAGAGCTACCAACCAATCCCACTCCCCCGGACTTACCCCATAGCCTTGCACATGTCTACTTTCTGTTGCTTCCCTGTGTTCAGCTCCTTCCCTTGTAACCGATTATCTGAGGTCTGATCTGATGCTGTGCTATTTGACAACTGGATTTCGGAGGAGAGGGAAAGACTGGAAGGAAAAAAGGTTACTTTTTTTATTGGAAAGAACCCTGATCAGGAATTGGCTTTGGTGTTGGAAACCCGGGAGCACGTGAGCAGCGTGAGGGATGGGTGTGGACTGGATCGCTCTGTTCTCAGGAACAAAGGATCAAGGAGCGTCCAGCGCCTTGGGACATCCTCCCCCACGTGAAAGGCGCTATACAAATGACATTTTTTGCTGTTCTTGTCGCCCGCTCCAAACTATTCGCAATCTGGAAGGTGGAGGAGAGAAACCTCTTCAAACGTTTGCCAAGCAGGAACGTGTGTGTCCTACACAGACAGTGCTGGAGCAAGGTGGCTGCCGCAGCCCTCGCTGTGTCCACCACACCACTCCAGAACATCCATCTCGAATGTTTCTTCATGAAGAAATCCTGCAACAATCTCTCTGCCCATCTCCCCGGGAATTGTGGCAGGGAATCTCAGGGAAACATTATTTCCATACATTAACAATCAATCTTTTACCTACATTTTGTGAAGCTTCACACTGTCTCAGCTTTTCGGACAACACAGCCAAACCCCTCAGCCACGTCGCCCACAAAATGCACAGTCAGTTCACTGTACAGCGTGTGCTGTGAAGCGCTTTGAGATGTCTCGAAGATGTAATAAGGCGCTTTATCAAATGCAAGAGTAGCCATTGGCTTCATACACTCCAGACACCAGTTCCCCGACACCTTCCTCGCCAGCTCTCCCACAACTCTATGAGACATCCCCTCCTCTCCCCCTCCCAACAGCTCAACCTCACCCGGAAATCCAGCCCCGTGCTCCACGTCACTCTAATCCCGTTCCCTGCTCTCTGCCCACCGTGTCTGTCCTGGTGCTCGCTCCCCCACTGGAGCTCTCTACAGTAATCGGGTTACACTACCTGTTGAATGATCTGCCAGACCATACAGGTGGTGTCTCGGGAGCCAGAGATGAGGTAGATATCACAAAGGTCCAGTGCGAGGCAGGTCACGATATCTGGAGAGAGACACACAGCGTCAGCCCCCACACTCCCACCCTTACACTGCTGCAATCAAACACACAGTCACTACAACAACAACAAATTACACATGTATACCGCCCTTTGCATCTGGGAGTTTCCACTTGGCAACAATTCAGTGAAGGGCTTTGAGACGTTTCCACGTGACATTAAACCGAGGTCCCGTTTGCCTGTTCAGTCGGATGTTAAATATCTCGCGATGCTATTCAAAAAGAGAAGGGAGTTTTCCCTCTCCCAGTGTCCTGGCCAACAATCCCCCCAATAAAATTGGTCGCTCACTCCACAGCTGTTTATGGGATACTGCTGCGTATATACCGTCAATACACTTTGAAGCGCTTTAAGATGTCTTGACGATTTGATAAGCTGCGATATCAAATGCAAAAATTATTGTCGTCTCCTCATCTCCTACGCTTTTCCAATGAGCCACAGCACAAGCTCGAGGAACAGCACCTCATTTACCTGCTGGGGACCTTACAGCCCTCTGGCCTCAATGTTCATTTCAACAATTTCAAACCATAACAGCTCACCTTCCCCCACCTCCTCTTCTGTGACCATCACCACATCATCTTGGACCCCAGACGCACCTTTTCTCTCCCTGATCTGCCTGTTTTGTTGCAATCCCTCCTTTTTCTGCATCATTAAGACCTCTTTAACCCATCATCCCCTATCCTCTACCCCATTTTCTCCTTTGTCTTCCTTGCCCTGACTCCCCCCTTCTCTGTTAGCCCTTAAAAGCCTCTCCCTCCCAACGTGCCCCAGTTCTGACGAAGGGTTGTGGACCCGAAACGTTGACTCACTTTCCTTTCTCCATAGATGCCGCCTGACCTGATGAGAGTTCGCAGCGACTTCTGTTTTTTGTTGCAAAAATTATTATTGTACATTGTGTAGGTGAACACACCAGCGCACAGCAGCGTGTCCCAAACAGCCGTGAAACGAGCGAATGATTGTATCTGGGAGATTCAGGTCCTCTCTCTTAGAGGTGAGTGCTCTAACCACTAAGCTACAGGATATGGTGAAAAAGTGGGTAAATGCAGTTGAAGTATAGGTCAGCCATGATCAAACAGGTGGGATGGGCTCGAGGGGCTGAATGGCCTCCTCCTGTTCCAAAGTTCTTACGGCCGGGTAGTCAGAGCACAAGTGGGTCCTCGGTTTAACCCCAGAAGGTTACTATATCCATCCCATTGACTCCATGGGTACTTTACTGTGAGACACCGATTTGTCTCCTTCTCAGACCACAAATTCCCCCTCTGCCCCCACCGCTTGCCCCCTGCACTCCTGCCCCCTCATCCGCCCGCCCTCAGTGACTGACCGATGTGCCTGGTGACATGTCCGGTCACTTTGCCTTTGCTCAGGGAGGTGACCTGCACACTGTTGTCCCAGTGGCCGCCGCTGAACAGGAGTTTGCCATCGTGAGACACGACCAGTGTCCGGGCTGACAGCTCAGCCCCGGGAGCGAAGGGGCCTGAGAGGATCCGCTGTGTCCTGAGGAGCAATCACAGGGCGGTCAGTGTGGGGAGTGGGGGTGAGGTCAGTGTGGGGGATGAGCGCGAGGGGAGAGGGTGAATGCGAGGGGAGAGGGGGACACGAGGGGAGAGGGTGAACACTGGGGGAGGGGGGAGTGCGTGGGGATAAGTGTGTGGGGGGTATAAGCTTGTGTGGGGAGTGTGAGCGCTTATGGGACTGTGAGCGCGAGGTGGGGTGAGCGTGGTGGGAGGGGGGAGCATGGGGGGGGCGGGGGGGGGAGTGTGAGCATGGTGGGGGTGCGGGCGTGGGGTGAATGGGTGAGTGGGGGGTGTGTGAGCGTGGGAGAGGGGAAGCATGGGGGGGGCGGGATGGGGGGGAGTGTGAGCATGGTGGGGGTGCGGGCGTGGGGGGAATGGGTGGAGGGTGGGGGGCAGGTGTGGACACTCACTTGACGCTGGCCGAGGTGGGGTCCCGTGTAAAGGTGAAGTAGTTGGAGATGTTCTTGTCGTAGGGCAGCCAGCCATGGGCTCCGATCAGCCCGTTCACACTCACTGTGACCTGCCAACACACACACACACACACACAGCCAAGCTGTCAGTCTCCACAATCAACATGGGCAACGGCGGCAAGTGTAGTGACTGTGCTTGAGTACACCCATCATTCACAGGAAAATAGTTCCGCCCTACACATACATACCCCCCGGACATCCCCCCCACCCCACACACACTCCACTCCCCCTCCCCCTGCCCTCACCGCCTCCGCTCCCACCTCATTCCCCCTGCCTTTCTCTCACCTCCCCCACCCGCCCCAGCGATCTCCCCTCATCCCCCCCTTCCCTGCGCACTCCTTGCTAAGGCTGGAGTTGGCCCCGTGTGGGGTTTGCTGCGTGGGGGGGCTGGGGATGGAGGCGGGGACACACTCACCAGCAGGTCGGGTATCCCTGTGTGATGAACGAATGAGCCTGATTCTTGGGAACAACAGCCTGGACCAGAGGAATGTCATCACTGATTCCCTGGAGCGAGAGAATGGGACAGTGAGTGAGAGAGAGTGTGAATGTGTGTGAGAGAGAGAGAGAGACAGAGAGTAAGACAGAGAGTGAGTGTGAGGGACAGAGAGTGAGACAGTGTGTGAGATGGTGAGAATGAGAGAGACAGTGAGTGGGAGAAAGTGAGTGAGAGTGTGTGAGAGAGACAGGGAGTGAGAGAAAATGGGAGAGTGACAGAGAGAGTGAGAAACAGTGAGAAAAGAGACCAGTTCCCGATGGCAGCAACCCACGCCACCCTCCCTTATTCCCTCTCTCTCTCCCTCCTTCCCACTATCCTTCCCTCTCTCGTTTCCCTCCCGATGAGGAAACTCTTGAGGCTTCAGGTGACAGCTGCTGGAAGGCGCTACGTGGAGTCCGAGTTTGTGAACACATCCAGCGGCTGGAATCCACCCAGAGAGGTCAGCAGCTGCTACTTAAATTCCACACGTCCAAATCGTGGGACCATCACTCAATGGGAAGGAATGTGTGCCCGAGCTGTGGGCAGGAAGATGGTGGCAATGCTCTCACACATTTCATGCTGAGCTGTGATGCCCACAGGAAGCTCACAGAGAGCTCCTGACCTGCCACCCACCTGGTGACCTCGGGCTCAGACCCACACTTGGGACGTCAAACAACCAACTTGTGACTTGGGGGGAATTGGCTCCAGGGTGACATGTTGGGCAACAAAATGTCAGAATCCAGCCCCCCCTCTGTGCCGGTCTCCAGTCCGGGTCCTGACCAGGAGGGGCCGCAGTGTCCCGGGGCACTCACTGCTGATGGCAGCACAGCCCGGCCCGGCTCATCAGCAGGACCTGGAAGGGCCGACCAGTCACTGGGGGCCGGGAATCCTCCCCCTCAGCTCCTGGTAACCCCACAGCCAAAGCCCTAACTAACGGGGAAGGGGGTCCTCGCTGGACAAGCAGCGGGAAAGCTGCCGGACAGTGATATCAATGGCCGAGCGGTGTGGGTTTAGCCGGTTACACTCCAGCCGTTCTCAGTTTGGTTTGGAGACTCTTAAGCAACGGTGATGGGTTTCTGTGTGTGTCAGACACCCGGTTGGGCAAAAACAAAAATCACTCCATCACTCACAGTCACACCCACCCTGATCAAAAAACCCCCCTCTCTCACTGCCTCTCTCATTCGTTCCCTCTTTCATTTCCTCCCTCCATTTCTCTCTCTCATTCTTTCCCCTCTCCCCCCCCTCTCCCCTCCCCCCACCGAGGGTCACCTCCACGAAGAAGGACTTGAGATGGCCGAGGTGCTCGAAGACGTCCAGGGTGTAGGTGTCGAAGCGAGCGCGGCGTCGGGCAGCGTTCTCCGTGGTCAGCCTCGTGGGGTGTGCCTCCTGCAATCACAGCAGCCATTAACCCGCCCGCCAGTCAATCCCTGCCCCCCATTACCAACCCGCCAGCCGATCGTTGCTCCTGGGAATGGGGAAGTGTTAGGGGGGGAAGGGTGTGTTTGGGGGAGGGAGCTTCGAGGGGGGAATGGGGGCGTGTTGGGGGAGGGGGAGGTGTTGGAGGGAAGTGTTGGAGGGAAGTGCTGAGGGTAAGGGAGTGTTGGGGCAGGGGGAGGTGTTGGGGGAGGGAAGTGTTGGGGATAAGGGAAGTCTTGGGGGAGAGGCCAGGCTTCTTTGTGGTCTCACCTTCAGGAGCTGACATGGAGTCTGCCCGAAGTTACTGATGATTCCCTCCAGCGCTTTCCTCTCGGTCTCATCTGCGATGGCATCCAGGTCCACCGCGCCTGTGAGCGAGTCAGCGAGCAAGAGACCGCGTCAGTCATGGCGGGCAGAAACACCGCACCCTCTCTGCCCCCCACCGCACCCACACTGCCACCCCATCTCCCCGGATCCCTCCACCCCACGCACTCACACACTACACACCACCTCACACACACTCTCTTTCACTCACTCACACACTCTGACATTCACACTCTCTCTCTCTCTCTCTCACACGCACTCCCTCGTGTGCATTCCCTGTACACGTTCGCTCTCGTACCCTCGTATGTGCAGTAATAGAAGATGTTGAGAGCCTCCACGGCCGCCGGGCCTCGTTGCTTGTAGCCGAAGATCAGATCAATCCACTCGTGAAGGTGATCAGACACGAACTCCGACTCCTGCCGTTACAGCTCAGAGTCAGGGGGTGTGTGGGGCGGGGAGTGTACACGGGGTGTGTGTGGATGTGCTGGTGGGAGGGACGGTGCGGGGGATGCGCTGGGAGAGTTGCACGCGATGAGTTTACACAATAGGAGGGCACCCAATGGAGGGGGGGTATGCGGTGAGGGGGTGGGGGGCTTACACGGTGGTGGGGGAAGGGGGAGTTACCAGAGCTCTCCGATGTTTGTAGATAAAATCCTCCGGTGACTCTGCCCATTTGGGAAGAACCACATTCGCCACCTTGTCACCCGTCAACTGTAGGCACCCGAGATCCAGGTCTGTGAGAGGGAACGGGGAGGGGGGGGCGGGGAGGGGAGAGAGAGGAGGGGTAGAGAGAGTGAGGCGGTGGGAGGGAAACATGAGAGATGAGAGAGAGGGGGAGAGAGATACAGAGTTTGGAAAGAGAGGCGGTGGGAGGGAGAGAGAGGTGGGGAAGAAGAAAGAGTGGGAGGAGGAGGGATGGGAGGGAGAGGAGAGATGGGGGGAAGAGAGAGGGGGGAGAGAGTGTGAGAGGTGGGGGGAGGTAAAGTGAGATAGAGGGAGACAGAGAGACAGAGTGCAGAGAGAGGGGGGGAGAGAGAGCGAAAGGGAGAGAGAAGGGGGAGAGGGGGAGAGGGGGGATGGGGAGAGAGAACAACAGTGGCAAGTGTAGAGAGAGAGGAGGAGGGGTGGGGAAGAGAGAAGGGGAGAGGGTAGGGAGATAGAGATAGAGAGGGGGTAGCGAGAGGGGGGGCAAGAGAAAGAGCAGGAGGCGAAAGAAGGGGGGAGAGAGCAAGAGAGTGGGGGGAGAGAGAGGGGGGAGGAGAGAGGGGGGGAGGAGAGAGATCGGGGCAAGAAAGAGAGATGGGACACAGAGCGAAGGGTAGAGAGACAGTGAGAGATTGAAGTGGGGGGAAAGAAGAGAGACAGAGAGGGGAGGGGGAGAGAATGAGGGAGGGGAGTAGAGAGAGGGGGAGAGGATGAAAAAAAAAAAAAATAATAATTTGCTCACTCAATACACAACTGTTTGTGGGACACTGCTGTGCGCAATTGGCTGCTGCCTTTCACCCACAAAATACAATCAATTCACTTAACGGTCAATTCACGTAGCTGAAGGCGAAACCTTGGGCAAGTTTCCTTACTTCACACGCCTGATAATAATCCCTCAAAAAAAAATTGGTCACTTCAAACCATGACTGTTTGTGGGACACTGCTGTTCATAATTGGCCGCCACGTTTCACCTACAAAATATACAGTCAATTCACTTTACAGTATATTCTGTGAAGCACTTTGAGACGTCTCGAAGTCATAATTTTCCAAAGCTCTATGTTCGGGAATTGTGCCCTTGGATTGGAGAATTGCAAATGTCCCTCCATTATTTAAAAAGGAGGGAGGGAGAAACCAGGTAACTACAGACCTGTCAGCTTCACTTCAGTTTGTGGGGAAGTGACTGGAATCTCATCAGGGACAGAGTGACTGAGCACTCGGACAAGTTTGAGCTAATCAGAGAGTCAGCGTGGATTTGTGAAGGGTAGGTCGTGTCCGGCGAACCTAACCAAATTTTTTGAGGAGGTCACCAACATGGTGGATAAGAGAGTGTGTACGGATGTCGTCTACATAGACTTTCAAATGCCATTTGATAAGGTTACGCACAAGAGGTTATTAGCAACAATAAAAGCAGATTGCCTCGGAGGTAACCTTGCAACGTGGCTTGGTAACTGGTTGGGAGGCAGGAAGCAGAGTAGAGATAAAAGGAACTTTCTCTGATTGGCGGGACGTGATAAGTGATGGTCCCCAAGGTCTGTACTGGGGCCTCAGCTTTATATATATATATATATAAATGACTTGGATGAAGGAATAAAGAGTTTTATATCCAAATTTGCAGATGACAAAAAGTGAGGAGGCACAGTAACTTGTGTAGATGGGAGCAGGAAGTTACAAAGGGACCTTGATAGATTAAGTGAGTGGGCAAAACTGTGGCAGATGGAATTCAATGTGGGGAAGTGTGAGGTCATCCACTATGGATCCAAAAATAGCAAAACAGAATATTTTCTAAATGGTGAGAATCTAAGAACTGTGGAGGAGCAAAGGGATTTGGGTGTATATGTACACAAATCACAAAAACAAGCTCACAGGTACAAAGCGTTATCAAAAAGGCAAATGGGATGTTGGCCTTTATCTCAAAGGGCTCGATTATAAAGGAGAGGAAATATAGTTCTTTCAACTACATAGAGCCATGGTTAGTAAACCCCATCTGGACACTGTTCAGTTTTGGGCTCTGCACTTCAGGAAGGATATATTGGCTCTGAGGGGTGCAGCGCAGGGAATGATACCAGGGCTAAAAGGGTTAAATTATGAGGACCGCTTACATAAACTTGGTCTCTATTCTCTTGAGTTTAGAAAGTTGAGGCTGATCTGATTGAGGTGTTTAAAATAATAAAGGGATTCGATAGCGTAGCTACAGAGAAACTATTTCCTCTGGAGGGGGAATCCAGAACAAGGGACATCATCTTAAAATTAGAGCCGGGCCATTTAGGAGTGAAATCAGGGGCAGTTTTTCACCCAAAGGTTAGTGGGAATCTGGAACTCTCTCCCCCAAAAGACTGGATTATGTCTGGATCCATTCACATTGTCCCGACTGAGGTGGAGAGATGTTTGTTAGGTCAGGGGATCGAGGGATATGGGGCAAAGGCGGGTAATTGGAGTTGAGGTGCAGATCAGCCATGATCTAATTGAATGGTAGAACAGGCTCGAGGGCTGAATCATCTACTCCTATTTCTATGTTTACTCAGAGGGTAGTTAATGACTGGAACAGGGTTGCCAGGAAAGTGGGTTGAGGCCAGGACCTGGGATTTATTTAAGCAGCAGCTCAAGGGGGACAGCAGTCCGGGAGGGGTTCTGGAAGGAGGACATTGGATGGGTTGAAGGACCATTTGCGTCCAGGCTGATTTGTGATTAGCATCACGGGATCTTTAGAGTTGGCCTGAACAGACAGATGGGACTTCACGTCCTCAGTTTAACATCTCAGCCAAAGAGTCTCATATATTGCAGCAGACACTGTGCTGGAGTATCAGCCTGGACTGTGAGCTCAGAATCCCGCAGGTTCCCTCTTCAACCCACAACCTTTGGAGGTTTCCCCCGATAAATTGGTCATTCAGAGTCCTATAGCTCAGTGGTTAGAGCACTCGCCTCGCAAGTTAGAGGATGTGGGTTAGACTCCCGGCAGGTCGAAATGTTGGTCAATTTTGCTTACTCCACACACCTCTGTTGACCAGCAGTCAGTAGAAACCCAGTCGTTAGTCAATTGGCAAATCGCTTTCCGGAGTAATAATCCCTTAAAAAAAAGGTTCCAATAATAACTTGGTCACTCGATCCACGACTGTTTGTGGTACTCTGCTGTGCACAATTGGCTGCTGCGCTCACAAAATACACAGTCAATTCACTTTACAGTATATTCTGTGAATCGCTTTGAGACGTCTCTAAAACGTGATAAGGTGCTATATCAAATGGAAGGATTATTATTTTTATTATTTATTTCATGGCTGTGAGGGGACATTGTTCTGCACCTAATGCTTTCAACTCCACTTGACAGGATTTATCTATGAAGTGTTTTGAGATGTATTGATGTTGTTGGCACTATGTCAAATGCAGTTAACTATTAATTTTATTATTGCTTTCTTTCCAGTTGAAAATGAACAAGAAAAGTGTTGTGAGGGTCCTGGTCCGATTCCGAAATGTCAACTTTGCTCAGGATATTGTTGATCTGCAGCCAGATAACCAGGTCAGAGCAGCCCGAGACCAGAGAGAGCAAACCTCACTGTTACTCAATGTGCTTGACGTAAATTCATCTGTAGAGCGGGGGTGGTGGTAAGTGGGGTCTCCTTAGAGCTGAAATGGCTTCAAGGTGACATGTTTG